ACGAAACTAAGTGGGCTGACCAGATTACGACTGGGACTCGCCGATAAGAAATTTATTCCAATGTTGATCGCATTAAAAAATCTGGAAGATCTTGAAATCACATCCTGCCACATTGCAGATACCGATGAATTCAACTTTTTTCCTCTCTTTCTTGAATCTTGCCATCAGCTGAGATCGGTTTCCCTTTATAGATACTTATATTTGTTAACAAAAGATTACATAAAAGTTATCAGGAATAGTATCCAAGTTTTAAGAGACCCCACAATTTATCCTCCCTTAAAATTGCATGGGGTGTGGATTGAAGATATCGAAGACATAGTAAGTTTACTACTTGAATTCATAACTACATTATAAACTTTATCTTAATTTGTATTTTAGTCGGACGAATACGATGATGTTTACCTCCACTTAAGTTTATGTTTTGTTAATACTTTTAATACTTTTTTTAAACGAAGTGATTAAAAAAATACAAAAATCAAATTGACTAACAAAAAAAATACAATTTTCATATTATTTAAATACTTTTATTTTAAGTGCAGGCCATTTCCTCGACTCCCCAAAACGACCCACCACCCCCCTTTATATCAGGTTGCACGGCAACAGCTTGGCCCTTGGACCAGAATCATTATTAATACCAATTAAATGGGCTTAGGTTCTGTGGCTCTGTTCTCTGTGCCCAATCATTCAATGCTTATTACGCATACGCCGCGTGGCCTGGAAATTTATTGCGTAACCATGACAAAGGCGAAACTTTTTAATTGAAAAAAGTGAGCGGAAATATTGGCGACCGAGGACTAGATAAGCCAGGGCTAGAGCAAGCCCTCTAATTATTCGGCATAACGGCTCATTAGAAAACCGCGTTAGGAAAATGGCCTCTTAGTCCGTCGCCGCCGAAGCCGCCTGATGAACGACTTAATCACCCAGAAAAGCGCCACACAAATCAACGGGCCCAACAGGATTCCACTTTTGCTGTCACAGAACTTTTGCCGAGGAAAAGAACGACTCAAAATTAATGGAGCAAATCAAACGAGCAAAAAGCAGACACAAAGTCCAGTTTGGGGTTGAGTTCACAGGAGACCGCGGCCTTTAATAATGACAAGATTTGTGTGGGCTGCATACAAAATTAGCGGAAAGTCGACTTCGCCCTCGCCCTCGCATCGCTTCAAACTTTAAGTTTCATGGCCAGAGCTCATTTATTTTCCTCTGGACGAACATTTCATGTCTTTCCCGGGCCGCAGTTCCCATTTTTACTACTTTGTTTGTACTTATACCCTGTCAAAGGATAGAGAAGATTGTAGATAAGGGAAAGGGAGTATTTTCAATCGATAATATTATATTTGTAATGATTTTAAATTATACCTGTTACTCGCAGATTAGAGATTTTCAAAAATTTATAAAATTTAAAATGTTGCTAGTAGAGTATTTCAGAATTCGGTTAGCAAAAAAAATTAGTGCTTCTTTTAAATTAAACTCAGGCGAAATTGCAAAAATATTAACTTCCTGTGCAGCCAGCAAACAAACAGCCGCGAAGTTGGTCATCAAGATTTTAAAACTTCATTTTTGTGGCACACTCGGCGGCGTGGCTTAAAAATTATGGCTTCCATTTTGGGCCCAGGTCGGGGGCTTTTCCATGGGCGCTTTTCCATGGGTGGAGTTAAAGTTCAGAAATGCACATGGAAAATTCGCTGAATTGGCATAAAATGTAATAATAATTTCGTAGCATCTTTGTGGGGTTTTCGGTGGGTTGTCTGTGTGTAAAGGAAACAGCTGTTTCCGGAAAGACCGGATGGGGTGGGTGAACGGGTTCGGAAAAGCCTTTGTGGCATTGCGCGAATAAGCGTGTGCCGCAATTTGCTATTCATTTGAATTTTCGGCTGGCTGCTTGTTTCCCACTGCCGACCATAAAATGCAAGAGATTATGAAAAGTGCGCTTTTGGCCACCACTTCCTTGTGCTGCCACAAAAATATTTGGCTTTATATTTTTCCTGCCACGCCAGTCGCCAGCCGCCTTTCTTCTTCTTCTTCTGTTATTGTTGCCACTGCCACTGCGATAATAATCATAATGCAAATACGTGCTGCATTCCGGGGCGCTCATTCGTAAAATTTCAATGTGCCACAGCATTCAGTTCGCAGTGCAATCATTGTTGAAATTTAATCAAGTCCTTTGCGAGTTTCGTTTAAAATTTAGATTGTGTTTTGCGTTGCACAAAATGCAGGTGCGGGTGCAATTTGAAGTGCATTTTGAATACAATTGCAGGGGAGCATACATATTAAAGCATTCAAGTTAGATTAGTTATTTAATACAAAAATTGTATTAAATTATGTGTAGGAAAAATTAAAATTTTGTAATATTTTCTACACTCACAAAAAAAACTTGATATGAAACGATGATCGATTCTACGTTTTGTGGTATCGATTTTGACTTGATATGCTCGAAAAGGTATAAACGATATTTCGTAATATCCATTTTACATTAATAGAGTACCAATTTTTTTTTTCATTTGATTTTACAATTTCTTTTTTTATTTTATTTTATACCAATTTCACCAGTATTACATGGTAAAAACAATAAAAAAAGCTACGTGTTTTTTTGTATAATAGTTTCCTGCGTTCCAAGCCACAGTCTTGTATTTTTCAAAGAACTTGTAATTTCATTCTTGTTATCCTCTGCCTTATTCCATTTTAAGTCATCCTCTTGCCACGAAGTTCTTATTTCAGGCCGTTGCATTGTGACCAAGAAGACTCGGACACTTATTTCATCCTATTTCAGTGCTTAGGTAAAGCCAAAGGATTTCAGACCAGAGAGCTTTTCTTTGGCATTTATACGTTGCCCGCTGCCAAGTACAACCGAAAGCTGAAAACTATTACAATAATTTTTATATTTATTTATGAGCTAAAGGACCGAGAGACCTAAGTCCCGTGATGTTGTCGCTTGTGCTGCATTTATTTTAAAAATACACTTCTATGCCTGCATTCCAGCGAACGAGGAACTTTTTCAGCTTAGTGAGCATTACTTGAACTTCACTTGGCTTTAGTTTTTGTTCTGGCCCACGGAGAAATTCCGGTCACGTGGCTGTCATTGGATATCGAAAACTACGTATTTCCCAATGGGCATTCCGAAAGACTAACGAGCGTGACAAATGCAAATGAAAGTAACGGATCCCAGTTTCATGTTGACCCTGTGGACAGGACACAGGCGAAAAGTTAAGAGACCCAGACTAAAAGCCAAAAATCTAATCAAGTGACTCGATTGCATTAGTAATTGTTATGAGTAGTAGTGAAAACAAGAGATTTCCTGGGACAGTGAGGTATAAAACGACAATCTTCACGTAGAAGAAGTTGCTGCACATCTTTATAGAATTCGGAAAAGTATAAATGCAATTTTGTTGTGTGTTAAAGAAATTTTTAAACAGGACCATTTATTTAAAAGTTATGAACAAGTAATGTTATTCAAGCAGTGCAAGCAGTTGTTTTGTTGCATTCAAATCTCCATCTCCTTTGCTCTTCCTTTCTATTGCATTTGTATATAAAATCAGTAATTTTGAATAATTTACAGATGTGATTATTATTTTGTCAGAAAACGATTTCTATATAGATGAAAAATATTTATCAATTTTTATTTTAATTTCAGCGAAAAGCAATTTAAATAAATTTGATAAGTTCCAATAATATTTTTGGTTTCCAGAAATTCGATTTTTATTTAAATCGAACTATCAAATAACTAATTAAGGTTTGGTAGAGGAGCGAATTACATTTTTTAACCCGCATAAAATTTAGCAACTAAAACAAACTTTAAAATAAAAAAAAAGTGTGATTTCCCTAGTCAAAGAGTTCTAAATGAATTTTGTTCTTTTGCCTTTAACTACATTTTTGCAATTTTCCACTTGCCAATTTTTTTTCGGGCTGACTGTCGTGTGGCCCCAAGGGACCGCTGCAGTTGCAAATGCTTGAAATTACATTTTTCGCATTAATAAAAATGAAATAAAAATAAAAACTCAGCTCCTCCGGTGCTCGAAATATGCAAATGTGCCGCGTGCAGGCAGCAGATAAAACTGAGCAGGATACCCATATGTGAGCCTTGGTCCTTTTTCCTCTATTTCTGCTGGATGGGTGGATTGGAGTTTTTCGGGTGACACTACGTAATGTGGAGCAGCTGTTGCAGGCAGTGCCAAAAGTCACAATAAATTCGGGCATTAGTTCCCGCCACTCCACTGAACCGTTTGTCCAACATCCGCTGGCCTCTGAAATGTTTTGAATATAAATATAAGGTATAAATGAATTGAGAAATTGCGTTTAGCATAAATAAAGCTCGGCATGGCTTAAATTTAATGATGCGAAAATATTTATTCAAAACTTGAAAGCCCCGCGAGCTATCCCCCCCGAAATGTTAATAATGCCCAGGACGAAATTGCCGCTGGCTATTTACTTTTGTTTTATTTGGTAACAATTAATTAGTTCTTCATGGCGCTATGACAACAAAGAAACGGGAATGGATTCGAATGGCCCTCGGAATTTAATATGAATATTTCAACAGACAATTAGTTGTTCGTCCCAGCATCATGAATCATGAATATAATTCTCGGTTTATTACATTCTAAGCAGATTGGCTTAGAGAGAAACTTTGCCGTCTGCTCTGCGCTTAGCTGATCTGATTTTCGCTTTGAATGCATGTTAATGACTGAAAAGTAATTTAAATAAGCTCTTTTAACGATGCGAAAATTATGGTAATTTGGCAAATAAAGATGAGAATTTATTAATATATGTTTAATGATGATTTTGTAGTGCTTTTTAATTCCTATCGAAATATAAAAGAAAATTTAAGATCGGGCCATTTAATAGAAAGTTATGAGCAAATAATGCTTGCATATCTCCATCTCTCTCACACCCATTTAGCTGAGTAACGGGTATTTGATAGCCTCTGTGTTTCTGTTTATTTTTAAAAACATTTAGATTTATTTTGACGACAAAAAACCTGGGAAAAGTGTACAATCCTAAATCCTTGATTCTAATTTAAATCAATTTTTTCTTTAAAACCAGTATTAAAATTAAACAAAATTTACTTTTTAAAATGTTTACCTATTTTTACTTATTCTGACTACATAGATTGACTTAAATTTGATCTAAAAAAACTTTCCCGCTGCTGCGAATGCCTTGGGGCAGTGTAATTTGGCCAGTTTGGTGTAGGCACAGTTGTCCTTGGTTTTAAGCTTCCAGCCTCGCGAGAACTTGTTCCACACATGGATCACGGGACTCTTGGATATTCTCTTCATGGTCACATTGATTCTGTTGGTCTGAAAAAAATCCTTCCACTGCAGCCAAGGAATCGCGTAAAAGGCCTTCGGATCGAAGACCTTGAAGCCCTTGCAACGTTTGGGATTGCTAATCATCGTCCGGATGCTGTCGGTGCTGCACTGCTTTTTGGCCACTCGCGTTATGACCCCGGGTCCACTGTTTCCCCATTTATTGGCATCATAGTTGGCCTGCAGATCCCGCAGACACTGGCTGGCCAACTTGTGGCCCAAGCCGTTGGCGGACATCTTCATGACCCCGCAGGCCAAAGATTTGTTGCTCTCCGCCCCTGTGAAATTTGGAGGCATCTTCTCCAGACTCTTCAGAACCACCACATCGAGATCGAGGTAAAATCCACCGTATTTATATAGAGTCACATAGCGCAGCAGATCGGAGACGAAGGCGATGAGTGGCGCCGGCGAAGAGGACGAATACAGTGAGGCGTGGATTGTGAAGGGCGGCCGATTCAATGGCACAGGCCTCCCGAGGCGTCAGATGTATCAGGCGAATCTTCTCGTCACGCTGGAAATTCGTGGTCTCGTGGAAGAATATACTCCGTCCAGAACTGGGCTGATTTTTGGCTTTTAAAACATCCAACAAAGGTATGGCAGCAATTCTCACTTGCTTTTTTACCCTGAATTTGGGCTGATTGCCCATCATTTTTGTTTTCTTTTTGGGAATATGTTTATCGGCCGGCTTCTTCGGCTTATTAGTCTTCCTTTGTATGGGTTTCTTAGTCACCGGGTTTGCTTTCTTTGTCGAATTCTTCAGTTCGGTCACCTTTTTGGTCACCAAACTGACCCTCTTTGGGCCGAGGCTTTGACTCGACATCCACTTGTAGATGAATATAATGCTGAGAATAAGAGCCAGTGAACCAACAACGGTTAGCGATCGTGACACTTGCATTACGAGAATATCTTACTGCACTCCCACCACGTAATACCTCTTACCTAAAAGCAGAATTCGTTCCACTTGACATTCAAAATTGTGATTTTACTCGCATAATACACGTTTTAGTTTAGAAAAAAATCATTCATATTATTATTTTCGAAAATTATTGTACATATTCTAATCCGAAATAAACTAAAACAGCAAAGGAATGTTTTAAAAATATACTTATAAATTTCAGTATTTATAAAAAATTTATTTAATTATTTATTAAGATTATAAATAATAAATTATAATCAATAAATCTATAAATTTATCTAAAACATCCCAGTAATCTTCTTTCTAAGAATAAATTACATTTATTTTAAAGGATCTTGGAATGTCTTTATTTTTTATTAGATTAAATTTATCTTTAACGTCCATGGAATGCCATTCTACACTTTCTTATCACCTTCAAAGGTTTCCTGTCCGAAATCGCCACGTGCTTAAATGTCAACCTTGATAAATGCGAAAATTTGTCTCACTTTGCGATTAATTTTTCAATTAACTTTGCCTTTATAAAAGGGTTTGAGTTTTGCGCATTGCTTTCAATTCGAGTTTCCACTAGCAAATATGAGGTTCCTGGCTCTTTTATTCACTTTGCTGGTTGTGTTGGCGTTGGTCAGTGGCCAAAAGAAACTGGATAAGAACGTGAATCACAATGTGATCGTGATCGGTCCAGGAGGTGCTCCTGCCACTGGTCGCGCCGCTGAGGCCGCTGATGAAGCACTTCCGCCAATTCGATCCTAGAGGATTATTTATTTCCAATAAAATAGAGACCTAGACGCTCTGTAATATATTATAAATTTAATATGCATTTTTTATTTACTGACATTTTGAATGCAACAAACATCATGGATTTGAGGGATATTCATAAATTTGCATCACTTAATGGGAAACTCTTGTGGATTTTTACTTAAAAAATGATACAAATGTGACCAGTGTTATCATAATAAGATTTCGCTTGCTGTCTATGACATAATACAAAATAAATGTATACCTTACAATGATTATTCCTCTATACTTAAAGAATCGAAGATTTTTAAATCTGTTATCTGTTATAATAAGATATCTTGAACTCTGTGAAAATGGTTTAGTTTCAACCGAAGAGTAGACCTAAATAAAAAGTTCAAAAACTCTGGGCAGCTTCCAATCGATCGAAAGGATAATATCTAGAGGTATATGATGTTTCTATATCTGTGTTAGGAATTATTATGCTCCCCTTAGTCATTGAAAACCTAACTTATTGTGGTATGCGTCTATAATGTCAGCAGTTCGTTGAATTAGTTTCACTTTTAGTTATTTTATCACACATTCTTCTGATAATTGAATTAGCTTCACTTACGCAACTCTGGGTTTATAAAGAGTGGGCTCAGCCGATCGGTTACTATATCCAGCATCCAGTAGTAGACATGAAGTTCATCTCTGGCCTTTTCCTGCTGTTCGCCACCGTGGCTTTGGCCAATGGTCAACCCCGAGCGGATAACCTTGGCCTCAATGAGAACAAGAATGTTATCCACATCAATAGCAATTCTGCTCCTGGGGCTCCCAGAACCACATGATCGCACATGATATTTGCGGATTTCGAATTTAATAAAAAGTTTACATAATTGTTTGCATGTAATGCTAATGTCATTTTTATTTTAACAAGTAGTAATGGTTCCAGATATACAAAATTGTTTTCGAGACTGGTTAGTTAAACCATGTTATAAATCGGTATGGATAAGGAATATCACTCGTTTCTTTAACTGACTCTGAGATCTCCAAAACTACAACATCTAGAAGGTTGGAATTTCCCACAGCGCAAGTCTGTTTCGTCGAGGCCCACAATCGCAATAAACGATTTTAAAATGTGTCTGGCGGCCACTTCTTTTAAGAATTTAAAAATGTACAAATGCAATTCGGATTAACCGTTATGCGCAATCAAAGTTTTATATATCCATTTCCCTCGCACTGATAGCTGAGTGACGGGTATCAGATAGTCGGGACACCCACCCGACTATAGCGATCTCTCTTGTTTTATTTTAAAGGGTTCCGAAAATAAATTAGTTTTATGTCATGATTTATATTTATTTTATATTTATATCACGTGGCGGATTCAGGAATTGGCATTTTTGTTGCATAATTTTGAATATCACACTTCCTTGTACTTTTGGAAATATTCGTAAAGTACAATCTTAAAGGAACTTATAAATGAATTTGATAAAGTATAATGTTACAAACAAGTCATACATTTTGATACTTTTTTCTTTGTTTTCTAATTTTTATCCAATACTATAGGTAATATTTGAACTATAATATTTGTCGTTGATATCAAAACTTACGTGTAAACGCTTAGGCGAATTATAAAAGCATTACTAATTAATTATGCCTTGAGAAGATTAACCGATTTGCTGTGCTTATGGAACATTTGTTTTATAAATAGATGCAACATCGGGATCACACTTTATTCGAAACTTTCTCTGGCAGACATGAAGTTCTTCACTGGTCTTGTTTCGCTGTTCATCGCAGTATCTCTGGTTCAGGCCCAGACAAAACAAAACAATGAAAACAAGAATGTAGTACACATTGACACCTCAAATTTGTAGAGAGCGTCGAGTCAAAAAGATTACTATAAAATTGCGATGAATTAATAAATGGCTTTATTGGTTCGATAAACTAAATATATTTCTTATAATATTTATCATATTTCTATAACCATAACGAATTTTGGTTCCTATTTCTGTGACATCCCCGATAAAGCCGAAAGTAGAAAAGTAGTAGTAGTATGATTTTTTTTGTATTTTCCTTTTCCTCTTTGAAATCCTTAACTTAAAGGAAAAGTCTTACTATATTACACATTTTAGGGGGAAAAAAATGGTCTTCCAAATATTAATAATATCAATATTGGTGTATTGGTATTTGTTACGTAAACTTATAACTGCATCACCGGCAACCGGCAAAAACGAGGTTCAGGTACAGGTTCAGTCGAGATGAGTGTTATAATTTTTTGAATCCTGCTTTCACTCGTTGGTAAATATTAATATACAAAAAACCTGGCAGCGACTGGCGATAGTGAGGAAAGTGAGGAAGAATCGAAAAATTGTTGTTACACGTTAGGTTTACCAAAATGGAAAGGAGACATGTAAGATTTGTGGTTTCGATGTTTGGATTATGGACAAAAGGGCCACTTGGACCCATTTTTTATAAGACCTACAATAAAAAGGCCTCATAAAATTAACAAAATCAATGACTTACCAATATTAAAAAAAACGTAAAAGAAAAAGTATGAATTTATTTTGCTTTATTTAAGAAAATTAAAAGTGTTTAAATTTCCTGATTAAATGTTTTAAAAAGATAAAATAATTTAATGACAACATATTTTATAAGTGCAAAGCTTTTTTAAGTGTATCCAATTCATTTTTTACGTAAACTTATCATTGCATCACCTGCAACCTTATAAAGCCAAAAACCAGTTTTACGTTAGCAGTAGATATTCCGCCGAGATGATTTGCATAACTTCTGGGATCCTGCTTTCTCTCTTTGGAATCCTGTCTCTATCAGCTGGTAAAAGAAGAGGACTCTTAAAGAACGAGTAAATATTAATATACAAAAAAAACCTTTCAGCGAATGGCGATATTCGTGATTTATGGGAACTATCCAGCCATGAATTGGAGGAAGAAGAGAAAAGTGATTGTTACAGGTTAAATTCACCAAAATGGAACGGCACCCCTCTAGATTTGTATTTAAAATGTTTGGGTTATGGACGCAAGAAAAACTTGGAACTTTATATAAGACCTGCAATAAAAAGGCCTCATAAAATTAACAATTTCTTACCAATATTTAGGCCTAAAACCATTAACAATGACATACCAATGTACAAAATAACGTAAAAGAGATAGTAAACATTTATTTTGCATTAGTTAAAAAATTAAAAACGATTAAATAATCCTTTCTATGATCAACTTATTTTATGAATGCATAGCTTTTTTAAGTGTAACCAATCCATTTGCATAACCTGCAACCTTATAAAGCCAAAAACGAGTTGTATGTTAGCAGTAGAGTTTAAATGAGATGAGTGGTATAACATCTTGGATCTTTCTTTTGCTCGTAGGAATTCTGTCTCTGTCAGCTGGTAAGAAAATAATGGTCTAAAATAAGTGTAAGCATTAATAACAAAAAAAAACCTGGCAGCGACTGGCGAATATTTATCGGATTGTATGAATGCAAAAAGACCGACATGGAAGGGCGATTACACAAATTTGTTAAAGGCATGTTTGAATGTTTATGGACCCAAGAAAGTGGATCCATTTTATAGTACAAATCCAATAAGAATGCCTTATTTAATTCATAATTTCTTACCAATACACCAAAAACGCAAAGATCAGGTGGACCCATTTTTTAATGTAGATCCAATAAAAAGGCCCTATGAAATTAATCCTTTCTTACCAATACACAAAAAAAGTTGAACAACTTTTGACTTCCTTATAAAATGTTTTAAAAAACTAACATTATTAAACGATTAAGTAATATTTTCCATAATCAACTTATATTATAAATGTATAACCTTTTTAAATTTATAAAATTCTTACTCAAAAAGAAAGTGTAAAAATTAAAATACAACAAAATTAGAATTTCATAATAAACGAAGAATAATAAATAAAATATTTACTAAAAGTTTTTTCCTTCATTACAAAATAAAATAATAAAGGAAGTTCGTATCTTATTTCTCGGATTTGCCTCTTTTTTATGGCGGCACAGGGAGTCGTCCACATATTCAGCGAATATCTAGCTTTTTCTGTTTTCAACAAACTTTTTATTGTTGTTTCAAGTGGCATTGTTGTTCCAGTTGCTGCCATAGATAACTACGTGCTAAGAAATGTATAGCAAACTGCAAGGCACAATATATGTATAGTATATATATTGTATATACTCCTGGAGAGGGCGATAGAGATTCATGGAGAAGGCAGCCAGACAATGGCTGGCGCCCACGTCTCCATGGACACATTCTAATAAAAAGCAAGCACAGAGAATGCCGTTCTGTGTGTAGCCGTTTCTAGTACTGCCCGGGATGTTTCCACAGTTTCTTCATCTTCCTGCCATAGTTCGTTATTCCCTTCGATAGAGATGGGAAAAGTTTTTGGAGCTTTAAGGAATTTGAAAGGTTTTAAATATATTTTCCAAATGCATTTATATTTATGTATTACATTTGGTAATCGTTTGTTAGAAATATTTAAATATTAAAAGGGAGTAAAACATACTATATTCGAAATTCTAACTAGCCTGTTGCTTACATTTCGAGCATATCAAGTCAAAATAGATACCACATAACGTAAAATCAATCATCGTTTCATATAAAGTTCATTTTTTTGTGTAGGCTGTTTATTTTTACCCATAATAACATATAATTTATTTATATATTCTGAAAAAATCCTAATATATTGCCCATCTCTATTCCTCCGCCTCAGTTGAACTCCTGCTGCTGTGCTCGAGTTTTTAGGCTTTTTGTTACTGGGCCACATTTGAGTTATAAATGCCGCACTACTTGAATGAATCTCCTGGGCGTAATAGTTTTCAAATGGCTTTCCGTATATGACTGTCTTCTCCCCGCCTTCCAGAGATTCGTTTCAGTCTTTGTTGCAAACGTATCGCACACAAGTGGCCCGCTGTCTTTGGGCCAAAAAAGCGCTTGCCAATGCAAAAATGGCCGAAGTGAGCTTTTGGTGGGCAACAAATTTGCCATTTTATGCCATTGAGTGGCCGAGACTCCTTCAGGCCCATAAATAATTAAAGTTCCCCTTATTTCCCTATTTCCGATTTAATGCCA